AAAGATTTATAGCCTCGGAAACCCTATGAAGCGGTTCTACTCTGTCCTACAGTGTTACTATGAGTTGGAATCAACTCAGTGGCAACGAGTTTGGTTTTTTTGGTTTTTTTAATACCTAGGAGTGGAATTCCTGGGTCATTTTACGTTTTTTTCTTTCAGTTTCTTCTTTTTTAGTACTAGACCATAATCTAGTCTTTCTAAGTTATCTAATGAACCGTAACAATGTTCATCACTTTAGGCCTGAGAAGAGCAGGTGGCAGATTTCAGTTAAAAAGGGTCCGCCAGCTTGGCTACACTTTTCATAGTTCACTGCCTCTGGCTCCCATTATGAGTTTTGCTCCCCCATCTCTCTCTCTCTATCCTTCTACTGTACTATGGTGGCTTATGTGCTGCTACAATGCTGGAAGCTATGCTACCAGTATTTCAAATAGCAGCAAGGTCATGCATGTTAGACAGGTTTCAGCAAAACCTCCAGACTGAGACAGACTAGGAAGAAAGGCCTGGCAATCTACTTCTGAAAATTAGCCAACAAAAACCCTAAAGATCACAACTGAATATTTTCCAATATAGTGCTAAAAGATGAGCCCCCTAGGTTGGAAGGCATTGCACAATAGCTGCAACAGTGGACTCAAATACACCAGTGACCATGGAGATGGTGTAGGACTGGGCAATGTTCCCTCCTGTTGTACGTGAGGTCACCGTGAGTTGGAGCCACTTAACGGCAACTGACAGCAATAATAAAACTCTTCCCATCACATATATTCTGACTTAATGTGAGGAGGAAAAAAGAGATCATCTCTTGAAGGAGACATTTAAGAACTTTCTTCCCATCTATTCTTCATGGAGATAGTGTGGTATAGTGGAAAAGCACTGGGTCAGAATCAGAGGACTGGGTTTTTATATCCAGGCTAGATTATTTTCTAGGCTAGAGGGTATAAAGTAAACCACATCACTTCTCTGGCCTTCAGTCGGAGGGTTCATCTGGATTAATGGTTTCCAAACCTCGCCACAAATCAGAATCATCTGGGGAGATTTTAAAGTTTGTTTTTATTGCAAAAGTGGTCAATGCTAATGGAAAAAGTTCAAATAATACAGAAGAGTATAAAATAAAAAGTAAAAACCTCTCTTCCTCCCACAGTCTGTACAATCTCCCATACCTCTGACTCAGAAATTCCTTGGTGGTGTTCTTAACTTTTAAAATAGAGATCCTTGAGTCTTACACTAGACCTAATGAAGCAGAATCCCAGGCTTCTAGGAACCTGTTGCTGTTGTGTAAGCTTCACATGTGATTTTGATATACTTTCAGGTATAGGAATTCTTGACTAGATAATATCTGAGATCCCTTCCATTAAAAAAACCCTCCAAAATTATATGATTTAAGTTTGCCAGCTGCTAACAGGATTGGCCCTAAGCATAACGAAAGCAACAATGACTTTCTTTTGACCTCTTGCCTTCTCTTCTTACCCTCCATTGCTCAATTTCCCCATTTAAAAATCTTCATAACTCCTAGTCCCACAGTGAAATATTACAAGTTGAAATGACTCATTCCTTTAAAGCTCTAGTTGATCTTTGGTTAATCACATAAACCAGCAAGTACTGAAGAATTTCTAGCTAATATAGTACTTTTCCCAGGACATATAATACCTTATGTTAATATGTAGATTCCAATAACACCCTTAACAAGGGGCATGAAGTTTTCAGCACCTTACAGAACATCCAGGAAGCTGCTTTTAGTCAGACAGCTTTCAAATAAAACTTACCCACACAAACATTGTCCGTGTGGGGCAGCGGTTAAACCCTCAGCTGCTAACCAAAAGGCAGCCACTCAGAAGGAGAAGGATGTAGCAGTCTTAGTCTGTTACGATTTGTTGTTGATGTAAGGTGCCCTTGAGTAGGTTCTGACTCATAGTGACCCTGTGTACAACAAAAAGAAATGCTGCCCAGTCCTAAGTCATCCTCACAATCGTTGCTATGTTTGAGCCCATTTTTGCAGCCTCTGCGTCAATCCATCTTGTTGCGGGTCTTCCCCTTTTTCACTGACCCTCTGCTTTACAAGCATGATGTGTTTCTCCAGGGACTGGTCCCTGCTGAAAACATGTCCAAAGTATATGAGACGAAGTCTCACCGTCCTTTGCTTCTAAGGAGCATTCTGGCTGTACTTCTTCCAAGACAGATTTGTTCATTCTTCTGGCAGTCCATAGTATATTCAATATTCTTCACCAACACCATAATTCAAAGGCATCAATTCTTCTTCAGTCTTCCTTATTCATTGTCCAGCTTCTGCTTGCATGTGAGGTGACTGAATATAGTACACCTTAGTCCTCAAAGTGATATATTTGCTTTTTTACACTTTAAAGAGGTCTTTTGCAGCAGATTTGCCCAATGCAATATGTTGCTTGATTTCTTGACTGCTGCTTCCATGGGCATTGGTTGTGTATCCAAGTAAAATGAAATCCTTGACAACTTCAATCTTTTGTCTGTTTATCATGATCTTATTTATTGGTCCAGTTGTGAGGATTTTCATTTTCTTTATCTTCAGGTAAAGATTACAGTCTTATAAACCCAACAGGGCAGTTCTACTCTGTCCTACAGGGTTGCCATGAGTCAGAATCGATGCGATGGCAATGGTGTTTTTGGGTTTACTATCACTAATATTATGTAATTCAAGTGCCTGAAAGAAAACACATGGTTAAAATAAATAGATACTAAGTGACACAAAAGAAATTGCTAGATATTTAAGTCACAATAAAGTAAAGTGGTTGCTAATTATCAATTAATGGGAGAGGAAGGTTTACTTGAATAAACTATTCAGTCCTAATCACATCACACTACAGAACTACCCTCAAGGCTCTCTACTGCCCCTATCACGTAACTGTAGAAGAAAAAGAAGGAAAAACAAACCTAGGCACAAGCTGCTGTGATTTTGAAGGGAACTGTAGGGAAGAAAATAAAAATATGCCTTGCTAGGCCAAAGATTGGGAAGTAGAAAAACAGAATTCTAGAGATAATATCTGATCCATACAAATGATAATTATACAATAATTTTATTTTGAATTCATACGGTATTTTCTAAATAAACTCCAAGGGTGATTATATCTATTACTTGGAAAAAAAAAAAAAAAATTCCTACCTAGAGGAACAGGCTAGACAATATCCTTCCATTATATTTATTGGTAGAAAAACTCAAGTGATAAACGGTTCAATAACTCTTAAGTTTAAATGGCAAAATCTAGATGAGCATTCAGCTGTCCTGACTTTTAGAGTAGATCATATAATTTAATATAAATTAATGTATTTATCATATCATGTACAGATTGTATATGTGTGTGATGTTTGTGTGTATTTGGAATGGTGGCTAATATTGAGGTTGAATATACTGATGACTGTGGAATGTGTTGAAGTTCATAGATTCACAACTTCATAATCTCCTTCACTTTGAATCTTTGCCTGGACCCTCCTACTCTACCTGGTTAACTACTTCTTATTCAATGAGGGGTGTCCCTGGGAGGTTCAAATGGTTAATGCGCTGGGCTGCTAATCAAAAGGTTGAAGGTTCAAGTCCACCCAGAGTTGCCTCAGAAGAAAGGCTTGGCAATCTACTTCCAAAGTCAGCCATTGAAAGCCCTGTGGAGCACAGTTGTACTGTAATACACATGGAGTAAGCATGAGTCAGAACTGAGTTGTTGGCAACTGGTTTGTTTTTTAATTCTGTGAGGCTTAGCTCAGGCCTTGCCTTCCCTGACCTCCTTGAGCTGAATGCCTCTTTTTCTTATTCCCATAGTCCCCTGTGTATAACTATCTCTTCCTTAGCTCTTGCCCCCTCAATCTGAAATGAACTGTGGATTCAGCTGCCTCTTGCACTAGGCTTTAAGGCAATAAGCAAGCTTACTCATTATTGTATCCCTGTTGCTTAGCACAAAGCCCGGGCACATTATTATTATTCTAATGTCTGGTTGGTATTTCTGTAACTAAATCCTCCTTTTTAAAACTACCTTATTAGGCCTTGGTGGCACAGTGGTTAGGAGCTCAGCTGCTAACCAGAAGGTTGGCGGTTCAAATCCACCAGCCCCTTCTTGGAAACTGTATGGGGCAGTTCTGCTCTGTCCTGTAGGGTCACTATGAGTCGGAATTGACACAACAGTAACGGGTTTTGTGTTTTCATTTCCGCCTCTGTAAAATAGGAATAGTAACAGTGCCTTTCCCATAGCGTCGGTGGCAGGAATCACTGAGAGTTATACAAAGGGCTTAGAATATTAAATTACTAAACAAAGTTAACCAGTCTTTCTTATTCATTTTTGTTTTATTTTCTATGGAACTGTGCAGAGCCTTTAATATGCTGGTACACCTTTTGAATCTCCAGGTACTCTCTCATACTTACTTGATGGGAGATATACTAGAATATCCTAGAAATAGCATGCCTCAGAATATATTTTGGGAAATTCCAATCTAACCAATTTAAAAGAGTACCTTTTTCAGAAAGAAAATTGGGACTCTGGTTGACAAGTACACTTGTAACCTGGGGGCACTGGGACATAGTATTTGATGTGAAGACTGTTCTAGAACTCATACAAACAAGCAAGTTAAAAAGCAAAACCAGATCTATGTGTTACTGTATTTAAAAATCTTTCTGTTTTTAAACTTTGAAGTACGAGTGAAATGACTCTTATTGATTCTAAACTGAGACCTTTCAAATAACGTTCTAATAAAAAAACCATGCTTCACATATCATTTTCTAATAATTTGAAGAATTGTTACTTGGTAAAGATGAAGGCCTGGACTTCCTCATACAAAAACTCATGCCATTTATCATAATTCTGGTGCATCTGCCAAGAACTTCCTCTAGGGCCAGGAAATCTTGCATGAAAAATCAGATAGGAGGCGGTAAAGACGGAAGTAACTGACCAAAGTGAAAAAGAGGAACAAGTACTAACTAAAAGCAGGCTTAATGCATAATAGAAAGAACAAAAGAGACAGCGTGCTACACCAGTCTTAAGGTAAGTAAGAACCTGGTTTAAGGTGTTTGAGTAATGAAAAGCTATAAGAAGCAAGTGCCTTTTTAATTAATCAATGCCTTTATATCTTATTAAACTCAAGTTTTAGAAAAAGATTGCCTTAGGTAGCCATAGAAAAAAGAAAACACATAAACTGTTTGAGAGTGACATTAATGTTTTGTTACAAGTATATACGCTCACAAATATAACATTATGCTTCACAGCTGCCTTGTTTCCAAGCAGAAGAGCAGTATCCAACTTAGAAATTTCCAGAAGTTTATCAAAGATTTGTGATTTTAAGACAAATGAATAATTGTTAGACAACCTGTTAGAACTGCTTTGCAACACCAAAAACGAATAGTCTTCTTCAAAACTGGGACAACTTATTTATAGGTTAAGCAATATCTAAAGTTTTCTTGTTTCAAATATGTTTTTTATTATAGTACATCTTTGTTTTTCCCGTAAAGTTGTTTTGATGAAAAGGAAAGGATGCCTTTCTTTTCCTTTAAAAAGTCTTCTTGTCTTTATCTCAGTGAACACCTCTTAGAAAAACTATTTTAATATTTGACATGTCTATGCTATTGGTTTTTGGGTTTTGGTATGCTACAGAGAACAACATAGGTGGTAAAAATAAATTCTTTTGGAAATCTAGAAGACTTTATTCTCAGCTGCAGTGGAGACAACAGCTAGGCTTTGCCATAGTCCACTTGTGTTGCAGGCCTCGAACCTATTAAGCAAATGATTGATTTCAATATTTTCAATGAATATTTAAAGTTTATTTCAAATATTTGAAATACGTTAGTAAACAATTACTTAAATAAGTAATCATTTACACCATAAAATATCTCACATATGATCGGTTCTCATCTGTTTCAGAAAAGGAAATGAGGTTGTAATGGTTAAGTCATTTGGCAGACTTTTGCTCTTAAACACAAGAATTGTGTCTGGCCTTATAAAGGAAGGATGCTACAGATTGTAAATCTCATGCAGTGGACCATATAGTTCTCAACCCCAACACCACCTCCACAGAATTCAAGATTAAATAGTGTCTAGACCTGGGGTGTCTGTCCCTATATTATGATCAAATGTATTTAATAAATTAACTACATGTAGTATCCAATTTGATATCTCATATGAAGTACCAAATTGAAAATTTGCACATTGGTGTGTTCTAACATTAAACACATTTAGAAAAGTTCGCTGTCATTCATGAGAGCTCAGTGAGGGCAGGGCACAACTTGGTGGGTCTTTTCTTCTCCCACCTCCCTGTTTATCTTTAACTATTGTTATCCTGTAAGCAGATTGCTTCATTCACTCAACAAGTATTTAATAGTAAGCTGATCTCTGTCTAGTGCTAGTACTGGTGATACAAAGATAAACAAGACGAGGTTCCCAGCAGTCGAGAATCTCAGAGATAGTAGAGCAATACAAATTTAGTGATGAAATGCACTTCATAGCCATTTACAGATATTTGGGTAAGAATAATGTTTTGAGGAAAATGTTTCTTGAATCCTGGTTCAGCCACTTCTTGGCTGTTAGTGCAGTTATATAACCTCTTTAATCCTCTCTTTTCTTACCTATAAAATGAGAATAACAACAGTGTCTGTTTTATAGGGTAGTTGTAGGATTAAAGGGGATAATGCATGTAAAAGATTTAGAAGCTGACCCAAAATAAGCTCTCAATATATATTGTTGACGATTACATTCAATAGATGATGATAATCATTTCACAAGCACTATTACAATATTGAATGTAACTATTTCTATGTCTAGGCTGAAAACATACAGTACTAATGTTTCGTTGATAAAGTCATAACAGAACATTCAGCATAATTGAACAATTTCCATTTCTCTCCTCTTTGCCATTTTAAGCAATTGACTGAAAAACCCGCTGCTGTCAAGTCTGTTCCAACTCATAGTGACCCCATAGGACAGAGTTGAACTGCCCCATAGGGTTTTCAAGGAGCGGCTGGTAGATTCGAACTGCCAACTTTGTGGTTAGCAGCCATAGCTCTTAACCACTGAGCCACCAGGGCTCTAAACACACTGAACATCTTAACTGAATGAAAGTTATTTCTGGAAGGTATGAGAAGACTGGTGATAGGAAGACTTTCAAAGATATTTTGTTTTAGTTCAAAGAGCTATTCTCATCTTTTACATACAAACCCAATCCTTTAGAAGACATACCTTGAATTTTAAACTATTAACTTAAGCAATAGAATATTGAAATTTGGAGTCATTTGCTTATTCAATTTATTTAGTTATTTATTCAATAAATATTGACTGAGTGCCTTTTCTTTGTTAGGTGTTATGATTCTCTCTAGAAATATAAAGATGAAAAGACTTGGTCCCTGCCCACCACTTGACCAGGTAGGAAGACACAAATTCCTTGTAACATGAGATATCACCTACAAAAGAGAATGAGCTCATTCATATGGGGATAGAGAAGAAGGAGTGGTTAAAGAAAAGACATGGTCCCTGCCCACTCCAAAGAGGGATGAGTAAGGCATCACAGAGGAGATAATGGGTAATGGAAATGATATCATATGTGTGCTCTTTCCTCTTTCCTCCTCCTGGGTTCAGAGCATTGTCTTTCACTTGAAAATCATCAGCCTTATTGTCAAAAAGCTTATTGAAATCTAAGTAACACAACCACTCAGGCTTGGGCAGGGCCAGGTTCCTCTAATTTGTTGTATCTCCACACAACAGCTGATACTGTATTCTATATTGAAGCAGAAACTCAATCAATTCTGGTGCTTAATCTATTTGTAGAAATGGGTGGATTTTTAAATTATACTGTGTAATAATATGTAATTAATATATATATTTTTTATTTATAACAGGCTTCTGGATGGCAGATCGTTCAACCCTTCTTTTCTTGAATGCTCTGTTTTGTTATTATCTTCCATTCATTTTTGCTTCATTTTGTGATTCATTGATAGACAAGGACGTAGAATGAAATAAAATTCCCTGTGATACTGTACAGTTATACATTAATGACTGTACTGTAAAAAACATCAAATGCCAAGAAAACCATCTTCCTAAACTAAATTCACTCAATCTCTCCTCTAATTGCATCAGGACTTTGCCAGATAAAGTTCTTTCAAGTCTGAAAAGGAATTGCCTACAAACGTTTCCAGAATTATTTTTGAACCATACACCACTACAAAGAATTACATTGGACTGTACCTGTGTATTCATTAAGGGCAACACCAAGCCACTAAACAATACTGTCTGTGAAGAAATGCTGAAAAGCTGTGGGGATACTTCAGTGGGCTTTTCTGTAGGAATTTTCCTATTTTTACTATTGCTGTTCTTTGGAATTGGGTGTGTTTGGCACTGGAAACACCCTAACACAACCCGATTTACCTTGCCAAAATTTTTGCGAAGGAAAGAAAGCAAGAGAAATGACTATGCTAAAACACCCTCCTTCAGTCCCCAAGTTATTGGCCTAAAGCATAAAATCTCAGTTCAAACCCAAGGTCACAGATCTGCTATGGGGAAAACTAACATACATGGCAACTACGAAAATGTGGAAGCAAGACCTCCTAAAGCTAGAGAAGAAACCGATAAGGAAATATATGAAAATACAAGGCAGTCCAATTTTGAGGAGCATATCTATGGAAATGAGACTTTATCTGACGATTGCTACTTCCTGAAGCCTAGTACTTCTGCAGCTCCTCAAGAGGAAGATATATATATTCTTCCAGATTCATATTAACTTTTCAAAATACTGGGTTTAGTTATTGGAGGATAAACATTCACTGGGGCTTTTATTGTACTAATATCATTATTAATCAAGTTCTTCTTATAAAATTTAATGGTGTCTCTTCCATCTCCACCCCTTGGAATCTTTTGTATGTGTATCACATAGATTAATTCTAGATGTCCTCTGTACCATCTTTGCTTCTAGATTAGATCTGTATTTATATTATTCGTCTTTCCAAATATTACCTGAATTTATCTCTTTCTTCCATTTCTACCACTACCATTTTTTTTCTGGCTCTGGATAATTGTTGCAGCCTCTTAACTGATCTTTCTGACTCTAGTTTCTACCTACTCTACCAATTCTTCATGATGCTGCCAGATTGTAATCTTCAGAAAATATCCCCAGTGACCTACATTAACACCTTCGCTTAAAAACTTTTAATGCCTCCTCTTTGCAAAAGACATAAAACCCATAATCCTAACTCCAGAATTCATGACGTTCCACAGTTGGGTCCAATTTACTCTTCCAATGACTCTTTCCTAGTAATTCCTCACTTCTCTGCTTTCGTCAGAATCATCTACAAACCTACCAAATTCATCTCAACTCCACAGTTTTGCTTGTATGCCCCCCCAAGCCTGCCTCATACTGTAAATTCAACAAGTCTTCTGAATCATTTCAAACCTACATTTACCTTGTTTTCTTTTCTAACTTCCTGTAGTTGTCCTCTCTGCTCAATTTCTTGGGAATTTAAGCATATCAATATTTGCTATAATATTTTATTACTAAATGTCATATGAAAATGCCTTAAATTCTCAGCTAAGTAATAAGGAACTGCCTCACATTCATATTTTTATCCCCAATGCCTAGATCATCATATGCGGCACTCAATACTTATTGAATTGACATGAATTGGATTGTACATTTTGCTAAGTAGCTTTGAGACAAAATCTAATAAATTCATTCATTACTCATCCATCCAAGCAATATTTATTGAGTACCTTCTATCTATCTGTTACTGCCCTGGGTTGGGGGTGGGGGTGGGGAGCACAATAGTAAAAAGAGTGACTTGAATCCTGAACATGTACAGTCTCATAGGGAAAAAACAAATAAAACAAGCAAACAAATAAATACTATACTAGCTATTAAATTATGATATCTCATCTCTAAACCCACCTTTCTATATGCTGCTCTGAATTGCTCCTGCTAGAACTTGTCAAAGTACATTTTTCCTTTGTCAAGTGACTCCACGTTAGGCTCTGCCAAAAAAAAAAAAAAAAAAAACCTCATTGCCTTTGAGTCAATTCCAACTCAAAGTGACCCTATAGGACATAGTAGAACTGTCCGATAGAGTTTCCAAGGAGCGCCTGGTGGATTTGAACTGCTGACCTTTTGGTTAGCAGCAGTAGCACTTAACCAGTATGCCACCAGAGTTTCCGCTCTGCCAACAGGCTCTGCCAATAGGGAGTGCTAAAGAAGACTGGAAGACAATTTACCAGTTGTCATTAAGTCAATTCAGACTCACAGCGACCTCATATGTGTCAGAGTTGAACTGTGCACCATAGAATTTTCAATGCTGATTTTTTTGGATGTAGATTGCCAGGCCTTTCTTCCAAGGTGCCTCTGGGTGGACTCAAACCTTCAAGCTTTTGGTTAGTAGTTGTGCATCTTAACCATTTATGCCCTAAGTCGGAGTAAACTTGATGGCAACTGGTTTGGAGTCCCTGGGTAATGCAAATAGTTAACACATTCATCTGCTAACCAAAAGTCTGGAGGTTCAAGCCTACCCAGAGGCACCTTGGAAGAAAGGCCTGGTGATCTAGTTCTGAAAGATCAGCCATTGAAAACCCTGTGGTGCACAACTCTACGCAGACACACGTGGAGCTGCCATGAGTCGGAGTTGACTTGATGGCAACTGGAAGGCTATAGGAATGTTTTCTTTTTCCTTGCTGTCCACATCAGGTCAGGTACCCTAGCGATGTTCTTCATTCCAGCATTAGCTGGAGATTATAGTTTCCAGTTTCTAGCTTCTTCCAGTGTTTCCAGAAAGAGATTCATTGCACCTTGTCAGAAATACCAGCACCTGCAAGGCACTACCCACTCCCTACAGTCTGAGAACCAGCTCGCCAGGACCCTTCTCCAAATTCCTAAGGTACCAGCAGGAGCCAAGTGGCACCTGCTCTTCAGAGTCCTGGGTGCCAGACTTGTAGTTCTCCTCCTCCGTGGTTCTAATAAGCTCCAGGCTGAAGGGCAGTAGTGGCTTCCCACAGTTACTATCTTGGTGGTAACTCAGTGTCTCCGTTTTATCTTTTCAATCTGCCATTACCTATGTACTAATTCTCTGTACCACATTCTCTCTGTTAAAACTGGTGTGTTTGTTGGATGATACCAAATGATACAAATAAAAATGGTAGTAGGTGGTAGCAGTTTTTGAGAGCAATGGGGTTAGCTAGGGAAGAGGATTGTAATTTAAATAAATTGTCATAGGAGGCCTCTCTAAGAACATGCTTAAGCTGAGACTTGAGGGTAAGAAAGGGGCTATTCACGTGAATGTGGTGATGGTCAAGGGGTAGGAATGGGACCAGGATGTGAAAAGAACCTAAGGCATGAAAGAATGCATGGTGCTCTTGGAACTTAAAGAAGGCCACTGTGGCTGGATCTTAGAGAGGGAGAGTTGAAGTGGTACCTGATGAGTTGCTGAAGAAGGGACTAGTAGACTATACAACCTCTCATAGGTTTTTGTATGCATCTTGGATTCTATTATGGTTCTAACTGTAATGCAGTAAAGGGGTTTTAAGGAGAGAAGTGACATGGTAACATTTTTAAAAAAGATTCTGGATTGAGAAATGACTGTAAAGGGGCAAGATGGAAGTTGACAGGACAGTTAAGAAGCTTTTACATTTAATTTAGACTGGGGTGGTGGCAGTGTAGGCAAAGACATTGGCAATGCTTCCCTATATTTTGGAGAAAATGCCCACAGGACTCACTGACGAACTGAATGTGTGTATTTGGTGGGAGAGGGCTAAGACTTGAGATTGTGGGAAAGGGAAGAATCTAGAAAAACCAACCTTAGTTCTGGCTGGAGCAACAGGGGTGATTGTAAAGCATTTTACTGAGGTGAAGAATACTTACAGAAGAAACAGCTTTGGAGGGTATATAAGTTAACCACGAGTTGGACTGTCAATAAAGAAAGTCAAGACTACGTTGGCTTAGGCACCTAATCATTTTATTTATTTCACATAACAAGGAGACTGTAGTTAGTCATTCGAGGGCTTGTTTCATCAGCTCAGTATTGCCATCAGAGGTCCAGAATCTTTCTATCTTTCCTGTCTGTCATTCTTAGTGTTTGACTTCTACTTCATAGGTGCTGACTCACAGTAACCATCTGGCAGCTGAACCTCCAGGCCTTATATCCATGTTTACGAAGAAGGGAGAAGGAGAAAAGGCAATATCAGGAGATATCTGTGTATATATCATTGTCCAGAATTGTGTCACATGGAACTCACTAGGGTAGGAAATTAAATTTTAGCCTTTTATCATCTCATAGAGATGGAGGCAAGGGAGAACAGGAATTCTAAATGGAATTTGGGTCAACCCACCTAAATATTTGCCACATGGGCAATAATCAGTTTTGGACATGTTTATTTTGATATATCCTAAGACACGTCTTAAGACCCAAGTAGAAATATACACTAGGTATATGAATGTACATATTTGGATTTTGGAGGACAGGTCTTAGCTGGAGATGTAAATTTGACAGCCTTAAGCATTTAAGTGGTTTAAGCATTTACAGGAACAGAGATGTATGTAATTACCTGGGGAAAGACTTTAGGAAGCAGAGAGTGAAGAACACAGAGAGAGGGAGGGGAAGAACTGAGAAGTTTCCCCAAAAAGCAACGTTTAGAAATTAGATCAATAGGAGAATCTAGCAAAGGAGGCTGAGGAAGAATGAGCAGATGAGGGAGGTAAATTCTTATGATATCTACAAATTGTGGTTGATATTGGAAGAGGCTGCATACGCCCGGCTCACTATTATTTACTCCCCATTGCTAACGGCCACATGGTCTCGTGATTTTTCCCTCCCATTCCAGTCTCTACAAAAAGGTTTAAGATTAGCTGATGTTCCTCCCTGGGGGATGGAAAACAAGTGATAATGCTCTAAGAATGAAAAACCAAACAAAGCACCCATCGTGTGACAAGAAAAAACAGGATGTCGCCAGATAATCCCCAAAGATGTCACCAGATAACCTCTAAGAATACCAGTAGAAGGTTAACTCATCTAAGACATCACCACCTCAAGGGGAAACGACCACAAAAGATCCATAATCCTGTCCCTATGAAAGATTTCAGCTGATCTCCAGTGGGAGAGACGGGTTTTTTGGAGGAATATATTCCCCTCCGTCTCTTATATATTGATATATAATAAACATCTTGTTGCTCACCTCATCCCTGTCTCAGAATTGGCTATGCGGCAGGTGGCTCCAATCCATGTTATTGAGGTAACTATATTGTGGAATATATTATAAACTGGCACTTATCCATTACAGTTTATTATCCAGAGGAGTCCCTGGGTATCGCAAACAGTTAAGCACTCAGCTACTAATTGAAAAGTTGGCAGTTCAAATCCACCCAAAGGAAGCTTAAAGGAAAGCCCTGGTGATCCACTTCTGACAGGTCACAGCCACTGAAATCGCTATGGAACACATTTCTGCTCTGAGACACATGGCATCGCCGTAAGTCAGAACCAACTCCATGGCAACTAGTTTGTTTGTTTGTTTTTACTCTCCATTCTTCCCCTCTCTCTTATTTCCTATTTCCTCTTCTCTCCCTTTCTCCTCCTCCTTCTTCTTTCTCTCTTTGTCTGTGTCTCTCTCTCCTCACCCTCACGCTCCAATTTCTATCTCCAAGGAGTCTTGGTGGTGCAGTGGCTAAGCGCTTGGCTGCTAATTGACAAGCCACGCTGTGGGAGAAAAAAGTGGCAGTCTGCTTCCATAAAAATTACAACCTTGGAAACCCTATAAAGCAGTTCTACTCTGTCCTATAGGGTTGCTATGAGTCAGAATCAGCTCAATGGCAATGACTTTTGGTTTTTATCTACATCTCGAAAGCAAAAAAAAGTCAATGAGAGATAAAGATACAATAAAGTTCCTCTGCATCTATTGAGAGCAGTTTTTATTTGTTATATTATTAGCAAAAGTAACCACATGCGTCACAATTAAAAGCAGAAGGATGTTGGAGGTGGGGAAAGGAGACAGCAGCATCACATACATTGAGTGTGACTTTGCTATGTACCCAGAAATGTAAGTGCATTTATGTCCTATGACTTAGGGCTAGTCACTGTAAGACAATGTGGCCAGCATCCAGCAACACCGAGCACCTGGCTTTGACCTCGCTCTCAGCCTATAATTTGAAACATTTCACTTCTCTTTGAAATCTGCCTTATACTTCTCTTCCCAAACTATTATTTATTTCCACAGCCTCCTAGCCTGTTTGCAAACTTCCTTTACAACTTCCCAGTTACTGCTCAGACCAGACACTTGAGGCTGCTTCTCCAGTACTCACTTCTGGCTTCTTACCTCAATGGTGGCTCTTACTCTTCCCTTAGATAATACTCCTTCACTGTTCCGATTTTACTCCCCTACCCAATCCAGCCTGGTCCCCAGGATCCTACCGAGACGTAGGCCCTGGTGGTATTTCAGCTGCTATGATCAGGTACTAGATAAACTCCTCCCAAAAAACCCAAAAAACTCATTGCCTTCGAGTTGATTCCAACTCATAGCAATCACATAAGACAGAGTTGAACTGTTCCATAGGGTTTCCAAAGCTGTAATCTTTACAGAAGCAGATTGCCGCATCTTTCCCCCACATAGTGGCTGGTGAGTTCAAACCACCACCTTTCAGTTAGAAGCCAAGCACTTTAACCACTGTGCAATAGGCATGGATATTGATTATTCTAGCAAAAAAAATGTCCCGTTTGTGACTTTA